GATGTAGGCGGGGCTGAGCCACAGGGATGGGCGTGGCCTGTCAGGACATAGGCTGGGCCACAGGGGTGGGCGTGGCCTGTCAGGATGTAGGCTGGGCCACAGGGGGGGCATGGCCTGTCAGGATGTAGGCGGGGCTGAGCCACAGGGATGGGCGTGGCCTGTCAGGACATAGGCTGGGCCACAGGGGTGGGCGTGGCCTGTCAGGATGTAGGCGGGGCTGAGCCACAGGGATGGGCGTGGCCTGTCAGGATGTGGGCTGGGCCACAGGGGTGGGCGTGGCCTGTCAGGATGTAGGCTGGGCCACAGGGGGGGCATGGCCTGTCAGGATGTAGGCAGGGCTGAGCAACAGGGATGGGCGTGGCCTGTCAGGACGTAGGCTGGGTCACAGGGGTGGGTGTGGCCTGTCAGGACATAGGCTGGGCCACAGGGATGGGCGTGGCCTGTCAGGATGTAGGCGGGGCTGGGTCACAGGGGTGGCTGGGCTTCCCCACACCTGTTCTGCACCTGTGCCCCACTGCTCCTGGATTTCTTCGTGAATCTAGCCCTTTTTTAAGCATTAAAATGATGAAGGTAATGGAGCACAGAGGCAATCAACAGCCTCCTGTCTCACGGAACTATGCTGCCGAGCCACACCCATCTCAGGACAGATAGGAGTCGAGAAGAATGTTGGTCATTCTAGAGCAGGTTGAGGTATGAGTCTTTCCAGTTCAGGACATAGTGCTTAGCGACAATCCTCAAATACACCCCGCCCCAAATTTCATCACACGCATGGCTGACCCCTGGTGGTCATTCTATGACATTTTGCGCCCCCCCCCACTCCGGAAATCCTCACGGCACCCAGACGGATGTGGACGGCGCCTCCCCGTCCTCCCACTGACTTCCGCCCCCCCCCTTCCCACCATGCACGCATCTAGGATTTGTCACTCAGGATTTTTTTTTTCCGGGGGGCTCCAGAAATAGCGGCCGCCGTCGCCGAATTTATTTTAAACTTGCGCAGGAGCCAAGGCGCCCCTGTCCGTCAGAGTCAGACAAAGCAGAGTGGGGTGAGTACACGCTCTCCCACGGGGGGTGAGGACCAGAACAGAGCTGCACATGGGCAACAGACAGTCACATCAAATGGATAGACAGCAGAAATGCACAACAAACGGATGAGAACAAGATACAAAGAGATGGAGCAGAGATACGCATGCGGATGGTGAATGGATACACCATAGAGGTGAATAGTCTGTGGATATGAATAGTAAATGGATGGGCTACGGGTCACTCCTATCCTGTGCTACTGTACATGAGTGGTTTGATGATGGATGTGATAGGCGATCACAAGAGGTGAAGGGATGGAGTATAGATACAAGAAGTGAATGAAGAACATCTATCCAGTTTCTGTCACCACTTGTCCTATTCGGGGTGACAGGGGGTCCGGACCTTACCCTGGAGGAGCACCAACCCATCGCAGGGCACACTCACACACACCTACGGGCAATTTAGTAACTCCAATCAACCTCAGCATGTTTTTGGACTGTTGGGGGGAAACTGGAGTATTTGGAGGAAACCGAACGACGACAACATGAAAATTCCACATGCATGGATCCATGGCAGAGAACCTTAAACTGAGGTCGCAGTGGCGTGAGGCGACAGTGCTGACCACTGCACCACTGCGCTGCCCACAAACGAGGAGCCGATCTCACCAAGTACATAGATTCAAAACAAGCCGTAATTAGCAAATAACCAAATAGCAAATAGGTTCAAATCCTCGTTAGGAACGTGCTGCAGAAACTTCCCAAACTCACGGCATCTAAAAGAAAGTGAGTCGCCTTGGACAAACGTCACATGCTGTGACCTGAAGCGACCGAGCGCACAGATCCACCCGCGGTGAAGGTGGACAGATGGGCAGTCCCCCGCGTCCGGGGCGTCTCGGCCCCCGCGCCACCCAGGGCGGGGGCCAGCTTGCATCTCAGGTTCATTAGCTTATCACCCGTCGGCTGCTCTGCACCCTCCTGGCCTTCAGCACAAAAGATTCGGGCCGACGCTGCATCTGAGGCTGCGTAAGACGGTGCAGAAATACCTATTGTTCCATCTTATTTTTTTTAATCTTATTTTTATCTTATCTATTTTTAAACAAAGCACTTCAAAATCTGAAAAGTGAAATAAAAATACTCTACACAGACGATAAAGTCTGCAAAACAGATGAAAAATAATTTCATATTTGTGGATCATCATGTAATATTGAAGACCATGGCCCGTGGTTTGTGATGGATGGATGGATGGATGGATTTTATGATTCCCCAAAAGGAAAAGCACGCAAACCTCTTGAATGTGTTGCTTCTGAGAGCCTGTAAATTGGGATCAGAGGGGAATGGATGGAACAAGCTTTTATCCACGTACCATAAGAACCTGGGTGTCAGGCTGATAGGTAAAGAAAGTCACTGTCAGGATAATCCTGAGCTTTCACTTCAAAGGAGAGATTAATTGTCCTCTGTGTTACATGCTGACTCGTTCACTTTGCTGCTGACTGATGTTAAAAGGCAGCTTGCTGTCATTAGGAAAAGCACTGAGTTATTTGTAACCCACTGACCCCAAATATAATTATCGGGACATTATCTGGACCAGAGGGTCCCCCAGGTCAACAGATCACCTGATGTACAAGGGAGAGGGGCTGGTCTCAATTAAGACTGTGATCAGCCAATGAAATATCTCTTAGGGTGTCCAATGAGGTTGGAATGCCTTTCTTATCACATGACCATTCTCCAAAGCTGCTGGTGGTGCAGGTGACATCATAACCTGAGAGCCAAGGAGAAGTAAAGCCTCATTCCTTCATGGTTCCTTCATGTTTTTTCCCTGTAATTAATGCTGAACAGAGATGCGTGTCACATTATATTACCCAGCTGTAGGACTTCAGAAAATCATATTTATTGAAAACTAATGTTGTTAGACCTTATTATGTTACAGTTAATATAATTCTCATCAGAATGCCATTTTCCCAATCCGACAGTTATGGAAGACAATGCAGGCTGTTTTCAAGGTTCAGACCAGAGATCCAGTGGGTTTTGCGACAGATAAAATCGAGGATTTATTTTAACATGAACGCAAACATCTTTAACATGTTAGGCTCAATGGAATATTTATCAGAATCATCCATCCATCCACCCATCCATCCATCCATCCATCCATCCAGTACAAGACTTCAGTAACCCTATCCAAGACAGTATAGGGTAGACCACATGGGATGCCAGCCCACTGCAGAGCCCATACTCACAAATAAGGACAATTTAGAGACACCAATTCAGCTTTCTTTGGTTTTTGTGAGGAAGTACATTGAGGAAGCCAATGCAAACACCTGAGAACATGGAGGCTTCATGCAGGCTACAGTGGTGCCTACTGAGACACCACACTCTCTGTAAGAGAATCGATGCTTTTTTTTTATCATTTCCGAGCAGGAAAAGGTCTGGATTAGTTTTAAGGAGCCACCAAAGAGCTGTGAGGAGTGTTGAGCCTTGGGGAGAGATGGCAGGTGACTGACGGGGGCTGTGTCACATGAGGTGTGACAGGCTGGGAGGCGCCGCAGAGCAGCGTGGACACTGATAGGAGGAGGTGCTCAGCCTGGACCGAGTGGCATGGGGACCTGAAAGTCTCTCAGAAGCCAGGGGGAGATTCTCTCTCGCCCCCACATCACTGTTCATGCAGACACCCGCTTTCTAGGCTGGGTTTAAGCCCCCACAGCACATGGATAACAGCTGGGGGGGGATCTGAGCATAGAAAGTGCCATTCTTAGTGGGGGGGGGGGGTTCTGGTGGTGCCTGGTGTATGATGGGACTAGAGCAGATGTGCTCGTGTGGAAAAACAGACCAAGAAAAGCAGCAGGACAGAACTGTCAACCTGGTGAAGAAGAATAAATATCAAATGTACGGCATGGAAAACAATTACCACTCCCAGGCAGGATGGAGCGCCGAGCCAATGAGATCGCATGACACAGACTGGGGGGATTATTAGCTTTTATTCTGGTTTGACATGGAGAGAAATACCTCCTTCTTTCGGTTAGAATTCCCCTGCTTTCCAGGCACATTGCCCACGCCTCTGGCAAATGGGGTCCGTAGGCCGGTCTGCCGGGGGGGGGGGGTTGGTGCTGTGGATCGGCCTTGGTTAGCAGGGAAGCCTTTAAGTCTTGCCTAGCTGTATAATTCCCATTTCATCACATAGCTGATATCATATTCGCATAATTTTTACGAGGTTTCTGCAAGCCTACTAGAAATCTCTCCTGGGACTCAAACTCGCATCGGGAGGTGACATTTCCACTTTTACTGCCACCCCCCCCACAGGAACTCCCTTCCATATATTTGGAGGCGGTAGAGCCTCAGATGGGCAGAGTAACGGGTCAGTTGTCTCGCGGTGGAGCCTGTCACTCTCCATGACTCCGGAGAGACGTGGCAACGTTCCAGAAATTCCTGGGATGGTTTTCCGAGAGAAGGACTGCGAAGGACGCACAAAACGTGAACAATACAGGCTGATGCAGAGCGGGACGGGGGACGAGCTACGTAATATCCCATAATGCATCTGTTAATTAAAGCTTCTCGCCCAGGCACGCTGCTCTCGAGCTGCCTAAGCTGCCGTGCCATTTTCTGCTGATGCAGTTCTGCAGATTATGATAATTTACGACTATATTTCATTCATTAGTAATTTCGAGTCACTTTTTTCGAGATTAGACTGAAAACAAATTGACATGTGAGCAGCGGAACACAGGCGAGCAGCGGAGACACTCATCCTGCCGGCACCCGTGCGTGTATCTGCGAGGGAACGTGTCGCCCAAGCAAAGCATTCAGCTAGCGCTGTTTTCCCAGAATACCCTGGGTCTCCAGCATCTTTCCACTGCCTTGCAGCGTACGATGCAGGAGCCCAGACTGGTCTGGGTAGACGTAAGACAGTGAGTGTGGCCGAGGCCACCAGAAGCGACCCAGTATCCTCCATGCTAAGGAAAACCATTACAGCACTCCACATTTCTGCATGTTTATCGTTTCTCAAGAAAAATTAGGCGGAAAGTATGAATTTACAAATAAAATTAGACATCGGAGAAATTCCCGACAAACTGACACATTCTAAATATGTTAATAATAATAAGTTTAGCCATTTCCATTTTCCCAGACGCGACCAGACCATGGCCGTGCGCTAGTGTAGGGGTTCCTAACCCCAGGGCCAGTGCTGGACCGTGACCAGTTTTCTACGGATGTGGACAGCTGGGGGTTTGTGGTGGGGTTGATTAATTTCTAAATATAAACTATTTTCATTCAATTTTTCACGACTCCTCACATCCACACAATCTGTTAGCGCGAGGAAAAAACCTTATACATATAGTTATGAAATCTGCAACTGAACCAGTTTAGTATGACTTAACTGGACCGTGGACATCAAAATGTTTGGGACCCCTACCCCAGAGTGCCTACTTCACCCTGTGACAAAACACACCGTGGATGTGTTGTTCTGCTACCTAGCACTCCATGGCCCTACCTCCATCCTCACTTCCCAGAATTCCCTGGGGTAGATTGCATTACTCAGAATGTCTATGGAACACTGGGCCTGTCATTGTGCCAGGAGTGCCTACAGCATGCCCCGAGCTCCATGCAGCCTGTTTGTACCGCTTCCTTTTAGCTAAATATCTGCTGACTCTTCGGTTAGGAGCTCTACAGGGGTGTCAAACGGCATCACGCCTCTCTCACCGCGGAATCCTGTGGGGGGGGCACACGGGCACGTCCCTCAGTGTGTGAGGTTGCTTCTGACACACCTCTTCCTCAACCTCCAGCAGGACGCTGACTGAGCTGCTGAAGCAGCCCAGTGGGGAGGTGAGCATGGATGGGACGCCACACCTGGGTGCCAACGGGATGCCCGGCCGCATGCGGCGCAGCAGGAGCGGTGAGTTCTGGGAAATGGAGGACGTCCCAGATACACAGACGCCGAGTCGGGTTCTCGCCAACCATCCCCAAGCCAATACAGACTCCAATTCCCAGCATGCATTTCTCGCATTGCTCTTACTGCCATACTCCACTACACTTCGCTTACTCCAGGGGCGCTGTGTGCCTCAGGGGCTTAGGACACTGTGTCTGTAATTGGATGGCCACTGGTTCAAATTCAAGGTCAGTAGAGTGATGTCACTTTCGGGTCCCTGAGCGAGGCCCCTAACCCGCAATTGCCCCAGGGACTGTCTGACCTGGCTTTCTCAAAATCTACATTGCATTACATCATTACGCAATGCTACATTGCGTCACTTGGGATAAAAGCTAAATAAATGAAATATAAATATATAAACCAGTATCAATTATTAGTACTTATTGTGTCAGTAGCACTTAATATAATAATCCAGAGCATTCAGCAGTAATACAGTAGCGGTGCATTCTGGGAAGGCAAGATTATGTGTGACTTTATATGTGAAGCCTGGTGTTACACTCCCCCCCCATGTCAGGCAGTTCAGCTCATTCAGACCACTTTTTCATGAGTGAGAGAATAAAGCTTCCGACTCCCTGTGAGATGCGCCCCCCCCCTTTCGTGTCCCCTCCGCCGCAGTCCCGTTGCACGTGCCGCTCAATGCACACGGGCAATTTCAGCTTAATTACGATGCAGCCATTGGGGTTCCAGTTGGAGACCCGCCCATCGATTAGCTGCATGCCATTTCTGTGCAGATGGCTCTCTCAGTCTCTCTCTCTCGCCATCTCTCTATCTCTCTCACCATCTCTCTCTATCTCTCTCAGTCTCTCTCCATCTCTCTCTCACCATCTCTCTCAGTCTCTCTCTCTCGCCATCTCTCTATCTCTCTCACCATCTCTCTCTATCTCTCTCAGTCTCTCTCCATCTCTCTCTCACCATCTCTCTCGCCATCTCTCCCTATCTCTCTCAGTCTCTCTCTCGCCATCTCTCTATCTCTCTCACCATCACATCTCTCTCTATCTCTCTCTCAGCCACTTAGCTGTCTCTGTGTTTCTCTTCTCATCCTCGACCCTCCTTCCTCTCATCCAAATCTAACCACCTCCATCTTGCCCCCCACCTGACCCCCAGCCCGATTATCTCCTTTCCTGTGAACTTGGCTGACCTCCCATCAGGGCCTCTTATGATCTGTGAGTCCGGGTGATTTTATGAATCCTCAGGGCCCCTTTTGTGCCCCCACATGCCCCCTCGCCTGCAGAATCAGACCGTTTACAACACAGACGAGAGCCTCTATTTGCTTACAGGACACAGACGTGATTCATGGCAGGGCTATATTGCTATCGATCAGGGTGTCCTGCTGTGTTGCGGGTATTTAAATTTATCCCTGTTTATCAGGGTTTATCGCTTCAACCACCTTTAAATCAAAAATGAGCACCGGCTGTCCAAAATGATTTCCCAATCGGCCTTGTCATTGACCACACCCCACGACTGTGTCATGGTCTCATGTTGTTGACGACAGCTGAGATTTAAGATCTCCCTGCCTCAGTCTTGAAACAAGAGGGCAAAGGCTTGTGGGAGTTTTTCTTATACAAAAATGTTCTGAGGGCAGAAGGAAAAATGATTGGTTCAGAGAGATAACCAGTCAGATTGTAGAGATGGTGGGTCCAATCAACTAGAGGAGGAAAGAACCAAGACATCTGATTGGTTGGCTCCGCCTCCTCTAGTTGCTTGGACTTATCTCCTGTACAATATGATTGGTTATCTCTTTAAACCAATCATTTTTCCTTCTGCTCTAAGAACATTTTTGTGTACGTGAAACTCCCATTAACAGGGCAAAGAGGCAAAAATGAGTGGAAGAGCCGCAGGAAGGGCTCAGTTATATTCAGTACAAGAACCTCGCTGTTACGCTCCTGTCGGCATTGCTGTTGCTGCTCTGCAGGCTAAGCCTTCCTCATGTGAAGAGGGTTGCGGCATGCAGCCAGACAAGAATGACCGTCCCTGCATTTACAGAGTAACAGCTCTTTGAAACAGTGGGATAATGCTGGTGACGATTCAAATCCAGATTGCGAACCCTCTGTAGAAATGGCCGAATCGTTTGGCTGAGAAAGTGAAATCACACAAAACAAAGCAGTCTAGAAGCACACCCACTGCTCCGGCTTATGCTGAGAAGGTGCACCTGGGGGGGGGAGGACCCCTGGTTCAGGGGAGGGTGGTGGTCTCTGATCTGCAGGAGCTCGGAGAGTGTGTGAGGGTCTGTGGGAGCGCCTGATCACAGCACATGTCTGCGATGTTGTGTTTGATTGAGGAGAGCCAATCCTCTTTAGCCCACCCTCACCACCTTCTACGGGGAGTGTCCTGAGTGGCCGCCTTAGACCACAAGTTCCCTCAGTGGATATTAAAAGCTGCAAAAAGCAACACTGGGGTCTCCCTTGCCTCCATCCGGGACTCCAGCCACGAACACTGCATCCTAACCTTGCTTCTCCTGGACTCTCGGCTCCCCTCCCATCTGGCGAAAGTTACCGCGGTAGCTGGACCAGCGCCACCTGACTCTACAGCAGCTTCCTCCCCAGGCCACCAGGGCCATCCTCAACACCTGCTGCCCCCCCCGCAGCTCACCCTAACTTAATAAATTTACATTTACACTGTGTACTTTACTACACCCTGTGTTTACGTGTTTATTTCATACTCCGCTACCTGTGACAGCTTCTGCTTGCTTCCCATTTATTTATATTTATATTGTGCACGTTTAATAATTCCTCGGTCAGGTCACTTATTATTGCACTATGTGTGGTTTTGTGTACAGTCTGCCTCGTGTACAGTCTGTCTCGTGTACAGTCTGCCTCGTGTACAGTCTGTCTCGTGTACAGTCTGTCTCGTGTACAGTCTACCTCGTGTACAGTCTGCCTCGTGTACAGTCTGTATCGTGTACAGTCTGTCTCGTGTACAGTCTGCCTCGTGTACAGTCTGCCTCGTGTACAGTCTGTCTCGTGTACAGTCTGCCTCGTGTACAGTCTGTCTCGTGTACAGTCTGCCTCGTGGTACAGTCTATCTCGTGTACAGTCTGTCTCGTGGACAGTCTACCTCGTGGATAGTCAGCCATGTGTAGTCTGCCTCGTATACAGTCTGCCTCATGTACAGTCAGCCTCATGCACAGCCTGCCTCGTGTACAGCCTGCCTCGTGTACAGTCTGTCTCGTGGTACAGTCTGTCTCGTGGTACAGTCTGTCTCGTGGTACAGTCTGTCTAGCATTTATGTTGCGCTATGGTCCAGGTGGAATCTGATTTCATTCACTGTGTAGTGTATTTGTATATGGACTGCATGTCAATAAAGGTCACTCAACCTCACTTAACATATGCATTTACTTCAAATTCAGTCCACTTTAGAATTACATTCCCTTTATTTCACATTCACTCCACTTCACATTCATTTTACTTCACATTCACTTCACATTACATTCAAATTCACTTCACATTCACTTCACTTTACATTCACATTCACTTCACATTCACCTCACTTTACATTCACTAGGTGTGTGCTTGCGTGTGTTTCTCTGTGTGCGACTAAGGAGACACTTAAAAGCAGAGGTATACGCGCAGTACTCTTCTCTGACGGTTGAGTAAGCAAGACCTCTCTGCCAGCAGAGGAGCTATCAGGGGTCTGTGTTCACTTTGAATGTCATGTTATTCAAATACGGGTCGCGACAGGGTGCGTTCTGCACTGCGGACAGCTCAGCCCGCGCCTGGTGGGAGGGGCTTTGTGGCTGCAGGAAGAGGAGCACCCCCCCGAAACATGGCGGTGTGTGGAATAACAGAATGCAGTTAAAAAGGAGTAAAAATGAGGCATCCTAAGACAACGAGGCTGTTATGATTAAATGCTTCGTTAAGCATACAGGTAGCCACAGATTCCAGTAACACTTAAGGCCTTTACTTAATGTTTTTAATAATTTATAAACAGATTCATAACCAATAATAATGCGTTCATAAAGCATTATAAACATGGCTATAAATATTTATAAAATGCATAGCACATTAGAGCCATGTATGTTATGCATTATGACGGCTTATGAAGCTCTCATCTTTAATGCACTATAGATACCTTTACAATGCAGTACTAAGCATCCTTAATGCTTATACTGACCATTATAATGCATTATAAAGGTATCTATAGTGCATTATAGTTGAGAGCTTGATAAAGCATTCATAACGCATAATAAACATGGCTATAATGTGTTATGCCTTTTGAAAAATATTTATAGCCATGTTTATAATGCTTTATGAACGCATTATTATTTGTTATGAATCTGTTTATAAATTGTAAAAACATGGCCTTAAGTGTTACCCAGACTCCTAATTGATTTTGAATGGTTCTGTCTTTTTGAACATTATCCCTTCTTAAACACTTAAGACTTGCTAGACTGGACTGCCCAGGTTATTTGACTCTAATATGTAAGTGAAATGGAACGACTAGTTGCCTCTTTTTCACTTGAAATCCACAAACTAGAAGGGCAGCCCTGCATATCCACAGAGGACCGCAGCCCTGAGGTGAATCGCCAGCCCTCATGCGGAGCCTGCGGGCTGAGCGGCAGCAAGGGGCTCGTCCTTCATACGGCGGCTCCGCACGTGAGGGCAGGACAGAGCCAGCACCGGGTTTAAGGGTTTCAAACTGCCACTGCTACCCCCCCACACCTCCAATTCAGACAGCTGGAAAATCCTGACACCCCCCGCCCCCACTTGTCTCGCTCCCTGCTCCTCGGTGAGGACATTAGCATGCGTGGCGGCACAGCACCTTCGTACCATCGTTGGGGGGATTTGCGTGGCTTTCCACAGAGAGCGACGGGAGGGGCACTGTTTAAAGGATTCTGTTCCTGGGGACGGTGACAAGCTCTTAAAACCAGGTGCCCCTTTCATGCCTTTAGAGATTACAGCCCGTTGGGGCCTGTCGAGCAGGATTAAAAACCTGAGGTGAATGCGCCTTCGGAATCATTTCACGTCGGCTGCACGCTCTTTATATAGCCAGGACTGAAGAACTGTACGTGTAAAAACGCAGTGAATTACACAGGCTGACCCCCAAGCCATGCTGTAGCCGGAACCGGACTTTGGACACGCAGAGAGTGAGAGGGAGATATTTTGTTTACTCACGTCCATGTAACTCGGTACGGGAGCGTCCTCAGCAGACACCGACAGCACGATTCAGTCTTCAAATCAGAGTGAGGGGAGGAGGAGGGAGTCACACACACAAACACACACACACACACACACACACACACACACACAAACACACACACACACACACACACACACACACACACACCCGCGACTCGCCTTGCTGTAGACCTTTCGTCCTTTAGCGTCCTGTAAATGTCATGAACCTAAGAAGGTTTCTGTCTTTGTGACCGTGCGAGTCACATGACTGTGGCCCATGGTGACCACCTCTTCATCTCTCTATCTCCTCCCTCTCTTTCTCACCACTTATCCCTTTGTTCTTTTCCCTTCCCTTATTTGTTTTCCCCTTCTTTGAATGTTCTTTTTTTTTTTTCCCAAGCTCATTTCCCCAAATTTGGCTTCAGGCCACACAGTATCCCTCCCTATGTCAGCACTCGCTTTCAAGTTAAAGTTAGCAAGGACGTGTTGCCCCTCCTCGCCCCCCCCAGACGTCCCCTACATGTGACCCAGACTGACCTGCCACTTGGCAGGGATAGGCTGCGTTTGGATGCCATGGCTGACAGAGTCACCGGCGCCTCATGAACCAAAAGGCTGGTGCACCATAATTTATTTTAAAGCCTCTTTGTTATTTGCACAAAGTATGAGCGGTTCAGGATGCATTTCACTGCGTGTTGTACCTGTATAATTATGCATGTGACAAATAAAGAATCTTGAATCCTGATGGCGCAATGGCGCCAAAATGAGAGAGATGGGGTCCGAGCTCAGGCGGCCTGCATTCTGTTTATTAAATTAAAAGTGCACCATGCTGCCCAGTAATCCCGCCCCCACGTTGCCCAGTAATCCTGCCCCCACGCTGCCCGGGAACCAGTTAAGATGCACAGCGAGAGCCCACCATGCCACCTTCCTCCTGCGCAGCCGGCTGCTCGCGCGTTCCTGACGTCTCAGCACTTCGCCCGGAGGACCTCCGGCCCGCTCTCATTATCTGCCCAGATCCACGAGGGAGGGGCGAGTCGGGAGATGGGAACGACTCACCCACTCAAGTTATAGCCGGCTACGGGAGAGGGAAGTAAAATGAGCGACGGGGTGCAACTGGATAGGTGGGGGACACAATCTGGTAAAGCAGTTAAAGAACTTGGATCTGATCCCAGATCAGCAAGTTCCTGCTAATCTCTGAACAAGGTAGTCACCCAGAACAGCTTCAGCAGAATGACTGACCATGGAGACCTGAAACAGGTATATTGAACTTCGATTAAATTGTCTGCAAAGACGTGGATAGATAAGAACTGACTGTGAATCCTCCCTCTCCCTTTTTAACTCTGTGCTGACCCAGTATGACTGAGTGGATCTTGCAGCTTTTCACTTGACCCATTTGGATAAGACAGATGCTTTGGTGGGCTGTCATACTGATGCAATGGGTAACAGTGTTGTTCTGAATTGTGGGTTTGAATCTCACTGTTCTCACTGTGTGTGAGGTCCTTTGTTTTCCCTGTGGTCGCATGTTCTCCCTGTGGTTCATATTCCCCATTAGCAATGCAAAGACGCTCAGTTACACTACAGGTCTAAACGGCCTGTAGTGTATGACAGTGTGTGCCCTCCGGTGCACAAGCATCCCAGCCAGGGTGTCCCCTGCCTTGTGTCCCACGCTGTATGGGACAGGCTCCAAGCACCACGCTGTATGGGACAGGCTCCAAGCCCCACGCTGTATGGGATAGGCTCCAAGCCCCATGCTGTATGGGACAGGCTCCAAGCCCAGTGCTGCATGGGATGGTTCCAAGCCCCACGCTGTATGGGACAGGTTCCAAGCCCAGTGCTGCATGGGATGGTTCCAAGCCCAGTGCTGCATGGGATGGTTCCAAGCCCTGTCCATGATCCTGTACTGCATAAGTGGTTGTGAGATGGATGAATATTTCACTGTATTCGGCTAGATAATTACCAGCGTAATTAATAATAAATGCTCTCTGAAGATGTGAACTTAGAACCTGCCGGTTGTAAATTGAGCCAGTTTGTCCTTTACTTCAGACAGATGGAGATGGATGAGGCACAACTGAACTGTATGTGCTGCTACCTGCTGCCATTGTGTGACTTGAGGGAAGCCGTGTGTGTGTGTGTGTGTGTGTGTGTGTGTGTGTGTGTGTGTGTGTGTGTGTGTGTGCGCGCATACTGCAATTTTTCTTTTCCTTCCAGACTATGTGCAGCCACATATACGTAAACTGTGGCCTGATTTCCTCCAGCATCCTCACCAGCTCCACAAAGAGAGAGAGAGAGAAGTACAGGCAGATGAGAGTGACCCCCTCACCTAATAAGCAATGTGGCTTCAAGCACACATCTCTGCACAAGCCTGTTCGCTGTTGAACACAGATCTAACTAACCATCTAGGCAATTAGCTAATTATCTTACTGCTAAAGATATGGGGGTGTGTGAAGCTTCGGGAGCAAAAAAGCCCACACTTCCCTTTGCCCAACAGAGGAACGCGGACATTCTGTGTGCCTGTGCTTCTCTGTGCCTCTCAACCCAGCATGCCTGTGCATCTCTGTGCCTCTCAATCCTCAATCCACCTGCCTGTGCGTCTCTGTGCTTCTCACTCCTCATGCCTGTGTTTTCTATCTGCCTCTCACTTTGCATCTCTGTGCCTCTCACTCCATGTGCCTGTGCTTCTCTGTGCCTCTCACTCCATCTGCCTGTTCACCTGCCTTTCACTAAGCCTAACCCTTATGGACCCCTTACTGTGAGAATATGCAGGGATTCACATTCAGTCCCCCAAACTGTCCTAACCTTAACCTTCACTGAAATCATTCATTTCCTCTTCTCTTTAACCAAAGCTACATGCATTTATAAAAGCATGAGAATTTATTTTCTTTGCCAGCAATAATGTTAGTGTGAAGGAAGGTTGGGAAACCAGTCAACCTTGGACCCCCAGGAGATTTTTGTCACTGTACTGTGGAGCTTTTGTTTCTCTCTCCTCTCCTCAGTCTCCCACTGTCTTCTGGCACTTTCTTTCTTCCTTTCACCTGTATCATAAACCATTCAGTATCTGCGTAATAATAATATATTGCTATACACTCTTGTTAAGCGCCTTGGGACAACCGTGTCATGTAAGGAGCAATATAAAAATATATTGAACTGAACTGTATTTATAGGTGGCCATGTAGCTCCGTCTCTGAGACCTGCATTGAATCTCCACATTTCTGCTCCCCCCCCCCCAGAACAGTACCACCTGAACGAGATCCCCTGCTCCCCGTATGGCCTGGCAACGCCGCTCGCCCACCCCCAGGCCAGCCTCCACGCACCAGGTGTTAATCTCGCCAGGTACACATCGCTCAAGACCATCGGTGAGTGTCCTCCTGCTCCCAGCTGCCTCCGTGGCGTCGGCCATCTCAGACACGCTAATCCTTCCCAGAGACCCTGAGAAGATCACATCCGGGAGCCAATTCCCAACACACCCAGTGAGCCCCTAACATGGTGTGTCTGGAAGATTCAAAGTTGACTACACACACCTACACCTAATAGATCACAACTTCTGTCTGGTATAGAGTTATTGCCCAAATAGGGCAATCTCTGCCATCCCAGGTCATTGTTTATACCCTTGATTCCCCTGCATGGGTGACAAAACTCTTTCTCTCTGTGGCCTCAGTTTTATAGTCAAATCATTTGCATGTTGGCTCAGACCAGTATAGACCACACCCATACTGATCATCCCCAGTATATAACCATACTCCTGGCCCTCAGACGTAGATTAACCCTCTCACTCTCCCCTTGGGAGGGCAATAAAGAACGCTGCAGGTGCAGGCTCTCGGCGTGTGGACAAAGTCACCGAAAGGACAGGGTCAGCTTGAGAAGTGGGGGGAGGTGCAGGACGGCTACAAGGGGGCAGATGGAGATTCCGGCGCAGGCGCTGCCAGATGCAGCAGCGGGGTCCTGGACCAGGCCGGGCCTAATTTTGTCTTAATTAGACCCTGCTGCCACTGTGCAGGCATGGGCAGTGTAGAGGGGATGGAGGGACCTGGAGGTGGATGGTGACATCTCTGGCCCAAAGGAACCGTCAGGAGATTAATCAGCTGCCATTGGCCCACCTGCCTGAGTGCTAATACTTCCTTTCTCTCCCCACGAACATGCATCTCATCTGTTCCTAGCCAATTCCAGAGAAAGAACTGGAAAAATATGATTTGTGCCTTTAAATAATGTTTAAAATTACAAACCATCCTTCTCCGAAGGGTAAAACCTTATCGAGCTGTGCTGCCCAAGCCGAGACAGTCCTCGCCGGGAACAGGGAGGGAGCAAAAACGTAGACCGTCTATGGGTCCCCGAGGACTGGGTTGGGAAACACTGTGACACAGGATTCCCAAACATGTTTCACATCAATCAAGACTACAATGCCAGTTAGGACTGCCTCTTTGACACCAGGCATTTTCCGCCCCAGTATTTAACAACCTAATCAACAAGGAAATTCCCCCTACTGTCAGATGTCACAATGAACCAGACATGCTAGACTGAGGAACACAATGACCTCTGATGAATGGAATGAACAGGATAACATGAGGTTGCGATCACCAGGCAGGGCTGGTGGTAGGTGGTATCGACCTCATGGCCCCTCCTTCTCTCACCCCTCCCCCATCTCTTATCCCCCTCCCTCTTGTAGCAGATACCTCCAGCAGAGGGTATTATAAAAGTTACCCCTTGATAGACTTCTCCCAATACCGGGCTCCACCCTCCCCGTTCCAGCCACTCCCACTCCAACCCAAGGACAAGTCCTACCTGTGTGTGACGGACATCAATTCGCCGATGAGCTTCTCCATGCCCCGGGGAGTGTCCACGCGGACCAAACTGACCAAGACCACCACGCACCCTCTGCTCTCCAACCTAGACCTGGCCGCCTGGGATCACGGCAAGGTGCACATTCACCGGCAATATTCCCACCCCCCTCAGGCTGTTGGTCGACGCCTGGCCCACTCCGGGGGCCGTGAGCTCAGCGTGGAGACCCTGCCGGAGATGTTCTCCCGCTCGGCAGTCTACAGACACGTGCCCCTGTCACCCCAGCCCGTGCATCACCACGGGCAAAGGGCGTTCCTCAGCAACAGCAGGACAGAGGTGACCGTCTGAGCCAAGCTGGGTACACGCTCGATTTGTGGCAAAGTCTACGTGTTTGCATGCACGTCTTCTCCATGATGCGGAGGAGGAACCCAGCGACATAGTATTCTGTTTGCCATTAATAATCTCCAACGAACATGACCAGTCTTCCAGAATCTTCCTTCCCTGTCGCCGTCGGCACCCGTTGCCACGTCCCGGACCTGGCTGACCGTCCTCGGTCCCCCTCTCCGGCAGCACGCTCCGGGCCCCCGTCACTTCACAGTTGACCTGTGGCGCTTGTGTGGGAGCAGGACCTCAGACTGCGTCACAGTCCAGGGTCAGCGGACGAGCTGTATAATGAGACGAGAACAAACATATTCACGCAAGAAGGAGAAAAAAGACCAGGAGAGGCGCGAAAACCACCCAGACACCTGGGGATCTTCACTTTTTCTCTTCGAGGGGGGGTTGCAACAGGCATGACGAGGGGGTCGGGGGTGGGGGGGGGGGCACTGTCACAGAGGTTAAAAAAGAGAAGACATTCATGTGCGTCTCTTACAGCAGCAGCATCGGTCCCAGGTGATTCCAGTGCCTAAACTGTTTCTCACTGCAGAAAGGACTGGGCCGGCCAGGGCTTTTTATGATATAAAATAAACTCTAGATGTTATTTAAGCACGCGATTATGCACCAACCGTGAAAGTTGTGCCCCCCCCCTTTTTTTTTTAAAGACACTTGTATTGAGGCTAGAAAAATATTACTTTTTTATGTTTCAGAGATATAGGACAACGTCACAGTATGATGTTTGAGCTTAACAATTAAGCATCATATTTTGTAAAACCGACATCAATTAACACATTTGTTATTAATAAAGATGAACACATAACTTTGAAATGGATAGATAAACAGAATTACTAATGCAGCCTTTGTACAAGCAGCCTTTGTACAAGCAGCCTTTGTCGCTGGGTGTGTAGCTTACAGCTCCACCAAGCCTCTGTCAAACGCAGAGTTCAGCAGACGCTGTTGCCCCTTCAGCCAAATCATTCTGTTCTTTGGCGCCCTCTGTCTGCCTAATATCATAATGAACTAAAGAGGCATACTTATATTTGAAAGCCTTGTGTTTGATTAAAAAAAATATATATAATAATTAATTAAATGAATTCATTTCAATCCATGGATATGAAGTAAAACAGCTTTCTTTATCTGTCTTTAACTTTATTTTGAAACAGGGATTTATACAGTTAGGTATAGGGTAATGCTGTTGTAATGAATTTGTTAAATTAATGAATTGGACGACTAAGGAACGCCGGTGAAATACAGCTTGCAACATAATACGATAAAACTCGGTTTACATGTTGTTTAAACGACAAACGGACTGTACCGTACCAGTACAAACCATATGCATAAGGAATGGCTGAACTGGGAGAGACTGAAACCGCACGCAGAGTGGGGATGGAAGTTAGCGGGAAGACAAGAAATATCCAGTCAAAAGGCACCCATCAGTGCCGTGGCAGCTTAACGTGAAAGAGAATGGAGAGAATGGAACAAAGACAGCGGAACGGGCAGAGCTGATTAACATATGTAGCAATACCTGCTTTTTGTGATAAAAATTTCATTTTAAACGCCTCGTGTTGTGGACAGATCCATGAAGTGCTTCCAGACTTTTCCAATGTGAAATGGTGCATTTTCCTCCTATTTAAAGATACATTATATATATATACATATATTGTCATATGTTCCGAATATATGTACAAATACATTGTAAGTATCGGTGCGCGAATAACACAGGAGTTGTAGATGACGAACCGTGATACTCTTTATCGTGAAAATTAACCTTAAGTTAAATGCTTTTGGTATGACTCTGTGATTCTTATAATCGACACGTGTTTGACTTTGTCTGCTAAAATGGTGTTTAATATTAGTTTAAGGGCTTTAAAATGTATTTAATAAAAAATAATAATTTTGGATTTTAAACAAAGCAATCAGTCCCTCTACGTGCTGTCAGACCATTTAATGCCTCCTACATATTTTATCATTGGTATGCTAATATGTCTTAGTCTAATGGGGAACAAAGTGTTTCTTCAAAAATCAAACCTCAAACGTGACATTGAATGTCATTTACCCGCTGATAGTTGGTATGTTTCTACTGACTTGTTTCTAAGTTTCTCGAATAACTGGTGTGCTACATATCCCACACCACACACCCGCATACACAGAAACTCCTAAAGAGCAAACGCCGCAAGGTAAGCGAGCTCCGGCGGGTCCGGCGGCAGCTGGAGGGCGCTGCCCACCTCGCTTACAGAGAAACAGACCTAACAATCCCAGAAAAGCGGCTTTAGTGAGTAATCCCGAATTAGAAGCTCAGACCGTGGCAAATTCTGTCCGGAAACCGAGGTCAGAGTGAGCGTCAGCTGCTGCTGTGAACCAAACCCATTCTGGTGCAGGTTTAGCGGGATCAGACTTTACAGCGGCAGTGGCTGATTAGAGTACAGTATATTCGCGAACAGTATCGTTAATCATTCCAGCCCACGATTTATTCAAGAATTTCCCTCTGGGATCGGTATAGTTGATCACATTGTATCTTCTTTAAACACCCGTTTTGAGCCTCTCATCCCAAACATCACGCACCGTGGATGTACACTCACATACTAATGTATTGCCCTCCGTTGTTTTCCTACCATTAATATAATATAGGATATGCAGAACACACTGGCAAAGGCTCTGCATGTCGGGCTTTGCGTAAAGAAAGGTTTGCTTTTGAAAGGCTGCTGTATATTTTTTGTTGTTTTTGCCCCATGCATAAACCTCTGAGAATAATTAAAGGGTAGTTCCAGCAAACTGCAGGTCTGTCATTTATTACAGAAATGCTAATTGGTGACGACGATGAATGATTTATCACCATGTAATATTATAAATATTGGAGAATTCACTAATACCATTTGGTGCCTGGATGGAACTCGCCGTCATTGCTCCTTTAGTAAATGAATGTGAACGGGAAATCTTTGCACATCATTAATATTCCACCAAAAATTCCTTACCGGTGCTCCTGAAATTGACAAATGCTTTGTCTGTCCTGGCAACCACATCTTTCCAGAGGGTGGCTGGTGATGTGGTGCATGTTTCTTCTGCGTCAGCGTCTTTGTCACAGTCTGCCAATGTAATACTGTACCCAGTGTGTGAAACACCCGTCAATATTTGGGGGGTCCCCATCTCCCTATTGTTGCGCAATACCGTTCTTGAGACCACCTTAAAATTTTGCTTTTCAGGCTTTCAGGGGGTCTCATGGGTTAATCGGGGGTGTGGGACCCCCCCTGGACCCCCCCGTATTTCTCACACTGGCTGGACCCCTTTACCATCTTCAATTTCCTGACACAAGACCACAGGAGGACAATAAGGCACGCAGGTGTACTGAAGCAGGAAACAGTAACACAGCATTGACATGCAAGCTGTGTCTCTCAGATGGCCCAATCCTGAGTATCTGTGCCAAATTCTGGGCTCAGCCCCCTATTCATTTATTCCGCACAATTCCACCTTGGCAGAGCAGAATGGCAGAACAACCAGACCAGGACACTAATTGGTAAGCACTATTATCATCTTGGATTTGTATTCTCATCTTGTATGTTTTTTTCTTAAAAAGGCTAATAGTACTATTCTCTGTGCTTCCACAGGAAATGGATGGGTACCTTATAATGTCCCCTCCCTATTGCCAGTTCGACCCCGGTAAACCAGGAGCAGTACAATCGACCCCATGCTGCCATTTCCAGTTTGACAAAATACTTTCAACACACTAAGAAGTCATTTCAGGTTTCTTCATGCATATGGAGGCAATATAGAACTACCACCAGACAGTTGCGTACAGTATGCGGGACAATCTGGTGAATGACAGAGGATTTCTCATTTTAAATGTGAATGTGATGGAGGAAGATGGCCATTTGCCACAGGCTGAAGATAACGGGCCGATGAAGATGGCACAACGACAGCAGCAAATGACTGTTGGTCAGCATTTTTGGTAGGTACATTCCACTTCTATCAACTGCATTACATGAAACAGTGGACAAAGATAGATGAGACTTTAATTTTAATATGATTCCTTTATTAGTTATGTCTCCCCTTGCTCTGGGTTTGTGTCTGCGGTTACTTTGCGATAAGGTGGAGGGTGTAGCTTCAGAAGATCACATGGTGCCTCAGTATTTGTCAGTCTGTTACCCAGGAACTGGCAGAACTGTTGCTTTTCCAACTTTCCACCCGCTCCTCCACTCTTCCCTCCTCGTCCTTTTGAATGAGGGGACAGTATTCTGTAGCGATGGCTAAATGAAGCTTCATGAACCATTTGTTGTATTTTTTCACCCAACTAGATGGCGCTCTTGGTTTGCTTTGGGGGCATGTTTTGAGCCTATTTTTGAAAAATGAGCACCATCTAGTGGGGTCAGAAAATACAGCAAATGGTTCATGAAGCTTCACTTGGCCAGCACTAGTATTCTGCTGCTGGGTCATCATAATGATGTAGCACATCAGCCGGACTTTCACACTCCACTGCTGGCTCTCTCATTTCCCCTGATACTCCATTCTCCTGCCACAGGTAGATGGGTAGAATTCATGTTTCTTCTGTTTCTCTCCTCAGATAAGAAGATTGACAAAACCTTTGTTCTGTTAAGGCCAGATTGCTGTGCTGGATGACCTGCCACTGCTGAGAAGAATATTCGTTTAAAAAAAAAAAAAAACCCTTTATGGATTTAAGGTTAATTTGTTAGCCATCTACATTTTTTTTATTTCCAATTTTCAGATCGGCCAATTAAAGTTGCTAACGAGAACTGATGCACATCCGCTTCATTGTTACTTTCATCATTGTATAATAAGAAACAAAGTCACTTCAGTGGAGATTGATCTGGGAATTACCTTCATCGGTCTGAAGGCCCCCTGATTCTCCAAGCTGACACTTGGTCCTCCAGGAGTGTCATTTGCAGGAACGGCAAAGGCGGAGCACCATGGCTGAGCACCCCTGCGGCCTTTGAAGATCCTGGCTTTGATGGAGGTGCCCAAGTCTCGCCATTTAAGCTTCAGATCCATCCGCCTCCATTGACACCTTCCCATAGCATTCAGCTCCTGGCCGATGTCCTCTCATATCTTAACTTCTCTTCCTGTCTCAGCCTTCAATGTTCTTGACACAAAAGGAACCCAACGACAACTTGTCACTGAAATCGGGATGCAGACGCTACCACTTTCATACGTCTTTCATCCATCCTCGAGTGACTCTTTTATACCCGATTGCTGTGAGGTGACACTGGCTGATTATCTAACTGGTAACCATTCCACACTTAATGGTTTAGCTGTGTGGCTGTTAGTGGCAGTGACTAGCAATTAGTTTTGAATGATACGTAGCAGCCTATGCTATAGTGCAGTGTTTCTCAGACGGGTCTTTGGGGATCTCCAGAGGGTTCAGGTTTTTGCTTCCTCCCAACTGTCAGGGATTGAGAAGGGAGCAAAAACACGGACCTTCTAGTGGTTCCTGAGGACTGGTTTGAGAAACACCACTATAGCATATATATTGGTTTGGATGGTGTAGTTATTTGCACAATTTTACTAAGATTTTACAGGATATATAATGGTTGAGTGCATTTGCTTATTTACAGGATTGTTTTGAATGAAGAGGAAAAATACAGAGGCACTGAAAGTGAATTTATTTGTTATTTAAACATAAAACCACCACAGGGGTAAAATGAAGTGAGTGAGTGAGCCTTCAAACTAATTTTAAAGATCAGAGAAAATTGATATGTTACGGTAATGAGTTTGTTAGAGTTACCCATCTATAGTTGTCTGTGCAGTTACGTAATTAAAAATAATACTTAAAAAAAAAAACTTCAGTTCAAGCTTTAAAATTCTACCAAGGGTTAGTAATGCCGGGGTAGGTAATTACTTGAGGTCTGTCGGCTATAGGCTATAAAAATGCTAATTTAACGTAATAAGAATTTAGTTTAATGTGCGTAATATAAAAGGCAGTACCTGCAGAAATTTAGCCTTTGGCTCCACAGGCATCCAGTTGTGCAGTGTTTGGGTTTAGCTGCGAGGTAAACGCAGGTATGGCGGGAATTTACTGTCCTTTGCTCTCTCAGGTGAGCCTCCTCATTAAGGCCTTTGACGTGACCATTTTAGAGCTCTGCTGTGCAGGTATGACCCCGAACACTGGCTGGCAGTGTTGAGTTCATACAAGACTGCAAAATGCGAAATGACATTTCACTTTGGAATAAATAATGACTGAACCCAAAAATCCTGCAAGAGTTGGAAATAATTTATCTCAAATGACTGTAGAGAAAGCCCACACGCACTTGAGTTTGCCTAAATATATAGTGCAGGTTTTATTTGTTATTTGGCCCAAATGGGATCCTTATTTGGCCAATGAAAGACCCTAAAGGCGAGACCCTTGGGTTTGACCCTCCGAAATAAACCTACATTAATGGCAAACCCAAGCAAGACCCAGAAATGTCCAGTGATGTAGCCATCAAGGAGCCCGGTGGGGTTTGCCTGTCTAAAACACAGCTATGTTAATGCAGCCCAAGTGGCACCCAGATACAGCCAAATAAACAACCCCCCCCCCCCCCAAAAAGCTCCCCTGTGGTTTGCCCAACCCCAAAAACCCCCCATGACAGTCCACAAAACACCCAGATGGGCCTCGGCAATTCTTCTGGGCAGCCCAAAAGGGACCCAGTGCCAGCCCAGTTATTTGCCTTCGTTAAGCCCTAGGAACCCAGGAAACCCATGTGAAGCCCAGGTGGGGCCCCCGTGAGGCCCCTGTGGGGCCCCTGTGGACATGCTTGGCTGGGTAATTAGGCTCCCTTGAGTTGCCGGCGACTTTGGGCATTTTTCCAAAACGTCCTGGCTTTCATCTGGGTCTTAGCAATTGCCGCTAAACGCTTAACCTGTACTGCTCCAGCGAAACACGTAGCTGCAAAATTGTTAAAACCCTCTAGAGCAATTAAGTATTTGCATGCCAAACACGGAAAGCCACAGCAATAGACTGTCGAGCCCACAGCTAATCTGTAAGAAAATGTAAAGAATAAAATGACAACTGCAAGCCTATCAGGCATTAAAAAGCCATCTGTATCACTGTTCTGTATGCTATGAATTACAACTTGATTCATTTCATTACTTTCCTTGGTCAACATTAATTTTAACTTATCAGCTAAATTTCATCTCAAATTAATAGAAGAGCTATCGAAATGTCAGACTATTTTTTGGTAGTGATGAGTGGAAATAAGAATGTAAATGTTATTTGTACTCAGCAGGTATTTAAACACCTGCTGAGCATCACTGCCAGGTCAGTAGAGTCCATCTCATTCTGTGTAGATCAGGTTGGAAGACATTATGGATTAAATCAATGGTACGACACCTGGGTTCTGTAGAACAATCCAGACACTCAGTCTCTTCAGATAGAAAGTCCAGATAGACACTTGGTGGGAATATTGATGTCTTAAAAATAACTAATTAACAGGTGACCTATGTTGCCTATAGCAGGTCAAGGAAGGATGACTGAGATTTCACAGAGAGGGGCTCACTGTGAAGGGTTAATTTGAAGCACGGTAGACTAGTCCTGATGCCGGTGTCCCAAGTCCGATTAAGATTTGTTAAGCCTGATTAACCTAACAGTCACTAGGTGAGACATGAATCACAAGGTAAAAACTCAAATTCCATTATTCCACTCAAGAAAAGCTTGGCCATTAACCTTATACTGACCCGGTTCTGAGCAGTCCAATGTTAAACAAGCCAAACGAGTGAATCCGTCCAAAAGCCAAAATGCTTTTGCGCATTTCACAACAGCAGTGCATTGTACACAAGCTCTACCTTATTCTATATCACGTGACCAACAGCTTGTTAAATGAAAGGTTCTTTGTATTGACTTGGTTTGTATACATTAATTCAGCAGCAGAAACATTTTATAAACAGGAGCATAAGAGCATTACTACATGCGTCTGTGTCGAAAAAAGACTGGAGGAAAGATTATAAAGCTTCAGGAAGTGACCTGAATCGTTGGCGAAAAATCAGAGAAAGGAAGCGCAGTGTTTAGGGAGGGCAGCAAGGAGACAGAGAACAGGCTGTCCGGGCAATAAAGGAGGGATAAGTAACATTTCTACGTTAAAAATGTAGAGCAGGAAGGGAGGAAATGGTAATAAAAATAGAAAAATTGTAGAAATGAGACAGAGAAGCCAAGGGGCTGTAGAAGTAGAGCAGACGAGGAAGAGCACAGATAAATGTCAGGATCAGCTACCGGGGGGTTTAGAAGCGATGCGGAATGAGGAAGCCCAGGGGCCCGGCATGATATCCAGGCCACTAGCAGTCCAGAGCGGCCAGCGGACCAGACGGGACCAGCGAGCGGCCAGCAGAGTCGGACCGGCAGACATGCGTAACCACCATGACCTGGCACCCCCCCACCCCCGTTCCCCGTGCCACCTAATGGTGACAGCTCTATTAATCTCTCTCATATTGCTGCCTGCTCTCAACAGCTGTCAAGGGCGGAGAGATCTGGATTACAAGATGCACTAGAGCTAGTGATGGGGCCGAAGAAAGTAAGATGATGAGGATGAAGGGGGGCGGAAGAGAGAGAGAGAGAGAGTGTGTGGGTGCAGATGGTAAGTGGAGAAGAAAATGAGGAAAGACGCTCAACGGATCCTGGCTGCAGCACATTGACTGGCCAGCAGATGGTGCTAGGGAGTGCATAGCCATTTTGCAAGTGGTGGGGGGGCAGCCTGATGGGACACTCACACATGCCAGTCACCGGCAAGCAAAAGCCAATCAGTGCCACAGAAATCTGGCACTCTGCGACTGACTCCGAGATTGTTTAAAAGATTTTAAAATGGCCAACTCATAAATATGAGGAGAGGGTGAAATCCGCCGCCTCGAGGTAAAGGCAGGCCTTCTCTGTATACAGCTTCATACAAACTAGTGCAGCCGCCGCACTTCTGCTCAGCTATATATATATATATTCAAATAACATTTGGTCCCCACAATGTGGTAAATACACCCCCCACACACACAGACTTGCATGTTCAAACTAAATGAAGTAACGCATTGGTTTGTCAGTATTTTTGTGTTTGATTGGATATTCATCCATGCATGGGTATAAACTTCCTTCCTCACTCATTCCCTGCCTCATCTCCACTAGGATAAATTCAGACAGCTAACACATTTTTTTCCAAAGTGTATTTTTCTCATCTTTGATTTATATATATATACACATATATAAAAAAACAAAACATAGCCATATTCAAGTTTTCAAACCTGCATCACCAGCCAGTAATTGCCATCTTCCATCAATTTTACATTCAGGAAAAAACAGTTTATACAGCATCACCCTGTAGTCCGGTTAAAGCTCGTTAAAGCAGGAAGTCCACCAGACCACCGAAAAGGTCAAAAAGCATAAGTGCTATATGGGATGGGTCTGTTGCACAGATATGCTACAGTTACACCCTCAGCCACGAGGGGGCAGCATTAAGCTGAAAAAGTCTTCATTCGCCTGTCAGGGTGGGACAGCAGGGGAAACGGACCAGTGAAGACAATGGCTGGGCGGAATTTCCTCAGCAGAGGAAATAAGGCCGACTGTGTGAAACGTTCAAGAATGCACTTTGCCTCAGCGGTAAAAAGGTGAAAAAAATGAGTGAACATCTAGGCGTGTTTAAACCAAACCCGATCAGGCCCACAAACGGCATTCAGCAATGGAACTGAACAGGACCGGGGCACATCGGCACTGCATTGGACTGGGCCAGGTCCACCATGCCCTCCACCCCGCCCCAGGGTTCCCATGACAACCCGAAGAGGAACACCTTTGGAAGCAGGGCACCTGCAGACGGCCAGGCCGCTGCTAGCAGGGTACTGATACAGTACAGGGCGGGAGCAGGACTGCAATCCTGTCTCAATGCTATAGGGAGACAGTTCGGGTAATGGCAAGATATGTGCCAAATGTGTGTCCAAGGAAACCGTTGGCATGGATACACTGGAGTGGGTGTGGCCTCCTGCACGTGGGCATGGTGACCATGGGCTGGTCTCCTATGAATGGACAGGGTTTGTGGGGGTTGGAAGCCACAGAGGCTACAAGCCGGAGTCCCAGTACAGATGCAGGTCTGCACTGTCCAGAAAGTCTGCCGAAAAGATGTTGGAGGGCGTGTGGGAGTTGAGGGGGGTGAGCGCATGGACGCTGCTGCTCCCGCTGGGCCCCCCGCCCATGGTAATGTCCAGCCAGTCCATGTTGTCCATGGCGGGGTCTCCGAATTCCAGCCCGGGCACGTTGGAGCTGAAATTCAGCTCGCAGGTGTCCATTGGCGAATGGGGGTGGTCCAGAATGCTGGAGGTGCTCAGCATTTGGCTGTGGAGGTCGTCGATGAGGGTGGGAGGTCCGCCAGGCTCCGCCCCCAACAGAGGCTTTCCTGTGGTGCTCTCCAGGAAGTCCTCCAGACGGCCGCTCTCCACGCACGGCCCGTCCCCCACTCTGGGGGCCGATGGCGGTGGCGAGACCGCCACGGGATCGTGCGAGAGGTGCGGAGGGGAGCTGGGAGGAGACGGAGGAGGGGGGCTGGCTTGGGGGCGGGAGTTGGAGGGGCCAAAGTCAGATTTAAAGCCCACAGGGATTTCTGGGAAATAGAGAACACTTCATTAAAACAGAATATAAATACAGAAACCAAAATGGAGATGGCTTGAACAGCGAATTGTGAGAGGGGAGTTTTGGAGGAAGTTGCGTGTGGACGTGAGATAATGGAACTGGAAACCGCTACACGACGCGAGAGGCTGCCGGCGTGGGACTCCCGTACCTCCGCTCCGGATGAGGATTTCCAGCAGGTCGTCCATCTGCTGACTGCAGGAGCCGTTCTCCTGGGGGCAGAAGGTCCGTGAGGGCGAGGCCATGCAGATAAGGGCAGCTGTGTACGTGATGATGGGCCGGCAGACAGGGGACCTACCTTAGCGTGTGGCGTTGTGGGGGGGCTCTGCTTGCTGGCTGGGGAGGGAGAGCTGAACAGGGTGTTTTGGTCCCGGTTTGAACTCACAGCCCCCTGGGGGAAAAAGCAAAGAAAACCATGAACTAAACAGTTTTTATGCAAAACCATATAAAATGCTGCAAAGAAGAGATTAGAAGTCAAAGTATCCTCAGATATATGATGCACGCACTCATACACTAAGGTGATCATTCTGCAAATGAGAAGGTAATAAACAGAATATAAATACTGAGACACACAGGCAGACATTTCAGGTCCAGAAAGTAAAAATCCACGCCAGGATTTTGCTTCAACCAACCAGTCGAGTACTCTGTGAATGTGGCTCTTTATATTCAACTGGTTGGTTGAAACAAAATCCTGGTTTGGATTTTTACTTTCTGGACCTGAAATGTCCGCCTCTGCTGAGACATTTGAACAATATAATCATGACATTTAAAGACATGGATATTAAAACAGACAAGAAATACAGGTAACCACTCAATTCTACACAGGTAAAGCAGTTATGGAGAAAAGACGGATGGAAAATGCAGAAGGATGAAGGTATTTAGACAGACAGACAGCGTAGCATTACCTTGTGGGCGGGGGAGGAGGGTTCTGCATGTTTGGAGGGGGGCGTGCTGTTACTGTGGAAGAAAGGCTGTAGTTTCGGTGGAGCTGAGAGAGACACCAGGGGCCCCCGTGAGCTGTTGGCCTGAATGTGGAGCCCCACCTTCCCTCCCTGAAAGGGACACAGGCAGGAATTTGGCAAGGCCTCGCTTCAGAGACACCAGGCAGGATACCTGAGGCACCAATATGGCTGCCTTGTACTCAGGGATGGAAATACTGGTACGAAAACAAAATATAATGCATTTAAATCTTTATATGCTAACTCTACTTCATTTACAGTATACAGGTTAAAATGCAAGGTATTTTATTGTCATAGCGGTGCAAATGCACATAAAATAAGTATGCATTTGTGCTTTTACAAACAATCGATTCTCAATGTATCTGTTTTAAAGGTGAATGCGTACTTGCGTACCAGTTATGTCCATTCCTGCTTGTACTGCTCATAGCAACACTGGGTGGAGTCAGGCCCTGAACCATACCTTTGTGATTGGGTGGTCAACGGGGTTAGGTTTCACTGTCTCTTCAGATTGGTTGTTGGTGTCCATATGAGGTGCTGATTGGCTAGAAGTTTTGCAGGGCGTGGACTGTACCCGCTTAGCAGTGGGTAACAATGAAGCACATGGGCAAACAAATGGGCAAAAGAGGGCAGTAATTAAATACCATAATTAGGCGTCTCTGAAAAGTCAGACACACGAAACCTGACACTGAGCCCTCCTACCTGCAGCGTGATTCGCCCCGCCCCTTTGCCATGTGGGGCGCTGCGACTGGTCACCGCAATCAGGTAGTGGTTGCCGTTGCCGTCCGTCAGCAGGGTTGGGGGCGGGTGCAACTTAAGGAGATCCAATGGGAAAGAGGAGGTGAGGGCTGAACTGGTAGCTTGTTGACTTACGAATACCTGAAAAATGGAAGGAAGGAGAGAATGATTCGCACTTAATGCTAAAAAAATAAAATAAAAATATTTTGCAAATACTGCACAACATTCATGTTTAACATACAGATTTACGGCCAATTTCACAGCTTGATTTTTACTGAAACTGGAGTGAAACGCTTCGCGCAGCAGGCAGGCACCACTGTGTGACGGAACATTCCAGGTGCGGAGCCTGATGCATCCTGGGATAGCTGACACTGACCTGCTGCAATGCAGCCTTTGACAGCTGCTGCTCCTCAGCTGCTTGCTGTGGTTCATGCAGGCCCCGGTCCAGCTGCGAGGAGGAGCCCTTAGGTAGCTTGGTCTCCGCGCCCTCCTCGTCCTCCTTCTCCCTGGCCTCCTCAGAGGGCTCCTCCTTGACGTCTCCTGGTGCCTTCCCTCCCCTCTTGCCCTGCTCCAGCTGTGAGCGCAGCGACTCCACCAGCTGCTGCTTCTGCTGCAGCATACGCGTCAGCTCCTCGATCCGCTTGTCCTTCTCCTGCAGCATCTGGTCCTTGTCCAGAGACTCCCGCGGGGGGGCCGAGCCGGGTAGCCGGGAGAAGCGGCAGGCCCCCGCCCGGGAGTGCTCCTCTTTGACGGAGGCGGGGTGCTGGGGGGAGGCGTGCAGGCTGAGCTGCGTCAGGGGGGCGCTCACCTGTTAGCAGTTAGCAGAAATGCCACAGAGTAAGAGTCAGTAAGGACTCATCATCCGGAGTCACATGTCGGTGTAGTACCGGTCGTGAACAGTGGGGGCAGCAGAGAACCATAGCGTTTGATGGACTACTTTACGAAGGAAAGACGAAAAGTGTCATGTTTAAATCTCAAGAGATGTCTTGCCATTTTAACCCAAATTAATTCAGGTGAACATGCAGGAAAGAGGAGAAAAAACTGGTTGAAGATTATTACATTAAACGAAGTATAACTGTGAGCTGGGATAATCGCTTCGGATACGACTGCCACAGCAATCATCCTTTCCCTTATAATGAGTCTCATAAATCAGAAGCTAAGCATTTATGACAGTCGCAAAGCCACCGTGAAAAATCATGAGGTTCTCAAGGAAGTAATCAAGCATGGGGAATAGCCATTAGAAACACAATTGTGTTAACAAAATATGCAAAAAATTTTCACTGAGCTCTCTAATCTGTAAGGAAGTCATGCGACTACATGAGGAAGTTGCACACTGATGGAAACCTTAAGTTTGAAAATGCACTGCCGGCAGGTCTGGGACTCACCGATTCCCCGAACACGTCACCGCTGCAGCTGGCCTCATCGGGGCTCATGCCAGCCATGGAGCGCTCGGAGGTGGCGGGTGACATGGGCGGGGACGAGCTCGTGCTGCCAAACAGTATCGTGGGAGGCAGGCTGCTCCTACTGGCTGCCAATGGTAAGGTCCCTGTGCCCGCTTCTCCTGATTGGTGGATACCTAAGCCAGGGCAAGAGCCAGTGGGCAAGCTGGTTTTTGTAGCCCCGCCCCCTCCAGCTCCCCATTGGCTGAGCTCGTGGTGGTTCCTCAGCCTGTCGATGAGGTCGCTCTTGGTTCCCGACACTGGCAGACTCCGCAGCTTGAGCTCGTGCTTCAGCTCTGCGACCTGAAGGGGGCGACAGAATGCAGCAACCATTCACCTGGTGAGAAAAGCACACAGTCTCCCACAACACAATGAGTGGTCACTTCAAGTAGGTGCCCCTACATAGTACCAGGTGCAACTTCCTTGCTTTATAAATCGATGAGTTGTCCATTCAGAGAAGCCCCTCCACACACCACCTTTGTACAGAGATACTTTTGCACTACCTGTTTTCTTTTTCAAGTCTCCTCTGACCTTATCAATAAAGTATTTTCGGCCTCAGAGCTACTGCTGATGAGATTTTTTTTTTATCACACCTCTGTAACCTATAGATGCTGCAGTGGGAGATTCCCCGCAGGGTGACAGTTTGACATACTTAGCTGCACAGTAACCGAATTCTTCAACCCTGTCTACATTCTGTGCGTTTTCATAAGCAGCCACATAACTGGCCACTGAGTTTATTTCTAAGGTGATCTGGCCCACCTTCAAATCATCCAGGTTAGGAGGCAGAGCCCCGGGTTTGGCACCCCCAACGGGAGGCTGGTTATGACGACTCGGCCCATTCTGACTGGAGGACGGAGAAGTGGAGCCAGGCATGGGACGAGGCTGGGACTGCGCGCTGGAGGAAGCGGACAGCTGATCGCCTGATGGTCTGTAGAGGTTGAGAGAGGTATGATGGTGAATAATTAACGATCGATGAGACAGCGTGGGTGGATGGGTGGGTGGTATTGTTAGAATTGGGGAAATGAGATTTCAGACATCGCTGTGGGTGGAATTACTGGGTGCTCTCAGTTCCTGGCTGGTCCAAAGGGAATCAATAAAGCAAACAAAGCAGACATTTTATCGATCAGCAGCACACGACAGTCCTCTCGCTGCCTCTTGGCGCGGCAGCTTCACGCACACGCACAAACTCACTTGGGCGGAGCGGGCAGGATGGTGTGGTAGTTATAGTGATGCTGCTGCTGTTGGTTGAGGATCTGCAGCTGCAGGAAGAGCTGCTGTTGCTGCAGCAGCTTGGCGTAGGAGTCGTCCAACTGGGGCGGCGGTTCGCGCTCCGCCTTCTGGTCGGGGGGGATGTACTGGTGGTACTTGAGTTTCTTCACCTTGGGCTTGCTCTCCTTGGGCTTCTTGGAGCGCTGCGAGGGCCGGTCCGAGCTGGACTTGGACTGGGACTGACGGTGGAGGAGAGAGGCCGATATGGGACATTGGACACGGTGACACCCACTCGACGCAGCATAGGGGATAGCACCACCCACCTTAATCAGCCCAGAGGCAGAGCGGGAGGACATTGGCGCCACGCCATTGGTCAGCCTCTGCGCGTGGATTGGCTCAGAGGCGGGGAGAGGAGTGAGGCGCGGGGCCTAATAGAATAATAATGAGCGACTTAAGGGTAAGTAGCAGTCATGAGAGCAACGTATGAAATTACTCCGCAGGGAGTAAGAAGTCTTCTAAACAGAGGGTAGAGAGAGCAAGCTAAGCGATTACCACGGACGGGGCCCGCACCTGCGTGGGGGAGGAGCCACTGCGGCTGGGCCTGCTCGTGTCTGGGGGAGAGTCCTGACTGGCAGGGTGATCCGGGGATAGGGCGTCGCTGCTATCCTCATCCAGTGAAGAGCTCTCTGTCGCCCCCTTCAGGCAGTCCGTCTCGACTGGAGGAACGGGTCAGATGAACGAAAGAGGCATTAGGGTGTTGCATCACCGCGGTCGGTTACATAGGAATAGACAGGACAAGGATGCAAAACGACGAGAGGATCAGCCTGTTATCCTATGTACCATCCAACATGCTAATGCACTAGTGCTGTACTCTGACACACTTCGCACTCTTTTCACTGACTGTGCTCACCTTCAAACACTGTTTCCCCCACAGCCCTAACAACCACACTACTGAACTCTGCCCCGATGTCCTCGAGCATCACCTCGGCTACGCCACGCGTCCTTCTGTTAGACCCTTCCAAATTCATGCAACAGCAAACACAGGCAGCTGCACTCAGAAGCAGCAGGGGGCTGTACCTAAGAGGGTGCTCCGGAGAGTGGAGTACACCGGCAGGATGTTCTTGTGGATGAGCTCCATGGGACCTGGCCGGTGGGAGATCTTGTCGTTGAGGTCGTCGGCCAGACGGGCCCTCTTCAGACGCAACTGCTTGGCCTGCAGGGAAGGCTCCGCCGACGTCTCTACGCGACACAAGACGGGCGTTACAGAGGACCTACGGCACGGAGTGGGCCCAGAACATTCCGGGCACTCAGAGACAGAAAACGGGGTTGCCAGATGCCTCACCCTCCAGGATGTGCATGCGGACCAACTCAGACCTCTCGGGGCGGCTGCGGATCTTCCGCTTCAGGTAGTCTTCAGTCTAGGAGAGGAAGACGAGGGAGGGGGGCATGAGGGGACGGGGCAGCTGGGGAAGTGACTCGATGCTGAGCGGCCCGTCCCGAGCTGGCGACCTTACCCGCGCTCGTTCCAGACTCTTCCGCTGCTCGTGGAAGGCGGCCGGGCTCTTCAGAGCTGCAGAGAGGAGGACAGGCGGTGAGATTCAATGGCGAGTTGAAGGAGAAAGGAGAACTTGGTCGACTGGAATAAGACATAACATCATATGCCACTTTTGTTATTATTAACCAGCTAAACTTCCTCTTTGGCTGTGCGCTGAAGCGGGTGTCCTTGGCGCGTCCCCCCACCCCTGCCGGGGCTCGCCGTGCCCCTCGCTGCAGGACACAAAGATCCAACTAGACCGCAACACTACCACCGCCTCAAAAAACCTAAAATCAAAAGTCAAACGTGGTTCATGCCATGTAGAGTGGTCGCATGAAAGAGGGTGGATGGTGAAATGGACCAGTGGCTCATCGCCCATTTGCAGCAGAAACTGCGAGGTACCATTTTCTGCAGGCCGACTGCTTGACAAATCCACTGCAGATGTTGTGCAAGGCTCTGCCACACCTGCTCTCCCGCTGCTGTTGTGCAACGCCGACTCTACATTTCCTTCACAACTAAAGAGCTCTCCTTTTAATTTAATGCCATGGGCAAAAACGAGCCTGATTGTGGCGTCCCTCATGTGCACCCAGTGTCACAGTCATATAGACGATTAAGCGGCCTGCATGGAGGTGAAGGCACCAGCAGCAGTGCTTCACCTGTGCTACGGCAGTGCTTCACCTTTCACTGCAAAACGCACTTCTCCAATGCAATGCCCCCTCTTAAGACTGCGGGTGGAAGTATGCCAGGATGCAACTAGTTGTTCACAACTATAGTAACCCTTCACACTGGCTTTGTCCACAGAACCACACACACCCCAGAGGTCCCAGCCCCAGCTTCTTCTGAAATTTGGTAGCAGGAACTTAATGCTAGGAACAGAGCTGCAGAAACCCCCTGATGCCTGCGGCTGGGGCCGAAGAACGTTTGGCCTGAAGGGCGGCGCTGTCCCTGCGGACCAGGCTCGTCACCCTCAGGCGATTCTTGGCGTCTGTGAATGGCCTGCGCGTTGTCATGGAGATGGCCGGGTGCCGACAAGGACATGATAAAGAACAGCAATGTCATCGGTGAGAAAAAGTCAGTGTGACCGGCTGACTTGAGGAAAGGGCCCAAAGAAGCTGCCCCCCTCTTATCAGATGCGCAATTCTAACCCGACGAATGGGGTACACCCTGGAAGGGAGAGGGACGTCAGCATTTACAGCGGGAGAGACTACCACCCCCACCCGCCATGCAGAGAGCTCCTGTCCCCAGAACAGCATGTGTGCTGGCTTTCGTCTTTGGGGGGGGAAGGGAGGGCACCATGCATGGACAGAGGACACGTCTCACTGCTGGGGAGTGCTAGTGGGTCTGAAGGGGACATGGAGAGCATTGGGGCTGCTTGCATGTGCAGGCAGTGTGCGTGTGTAGGGGGGGGTTGTGACTGAGTAGTTGACACCTAGATCTCACACCCTCACAGCCCTGGACTGGTCTTAACTGATCTTCAGCTATGGAGGAAGTGGACAGAAAATGAGAAGCCATGGGTTCTGGTAAACGGAACAGGATCCGTGACCTGATGCAGCCCCTGCAGCCTGGCTGGGGTGGGGGCTTCCCTCCTGCGAGAGTGCTCTAGCCTGCTTATCCAAGACCAGTGACAGCCCCTATACCCTGGGACTGTAAGAAGGTATCAAAGTGACCCGACACGACCTGCTTCATCCACCAACGGCTAACTTATAACCCCAGCAGTGTTAACTAAGTGGATCACATCTGGTTAACTACTAACCAGTAAACACCAGTAAACAAGAGGCACCTGTGACATCCCCATTCCATTGCCAGTGCTCCCAGTAAAAACCGACAATTGTTTACAATACCAGTATAAAAGCACCAAGGCTGCGGAGGGCTTAAACGGACACCGAATGAAAGGGCGCTGGGGTGTGCGGGGGGGGGGGGGGCACTACCTACAGGGGTGACCGTGCATAGAGCAGGTGAAGCGAGACAAACCACCCTGACACCCCCAGCAGCCCCGAGGGCTGGAGCAGTGACACGGAGACCAGGCGAGTGGGGGGTGGGGGTGAGGGCCAGTAGATCAGAGCAGGACCGGCAGCAAAGACCGAGATCCACGCAGGCAAAGTCGAAAATGCCCAGAGCTCGTAGTGCTTACAGCTGCCGGCCCAGGTTTGCGGAGAAGGGTCGCAAGACCAGCCCCGTTAACGGACGCGTAATGGAGGTCGACAGCCAGAAAAGGGCTAAAGTGCACAGGAAATCGTGCGGCGGCGGCAAGGGCTGGGGTCACTTACGTGGCATGATTCCCTGGTTGACCAGCTCCTCCCGGGTTCGTCTCTGCTGGAGTTTGAGCTGGAGCACTGCATCAGAGAGAGGTGGCAGCAGGTCAGAATGCCGTTAGAAGGAAAAAGAAAAGCGAAACGAAAAACAGGCAAACATCCCCCACGGAAGCCCTACAGCTGGAGACTGGCGCAGGCCGCCGAACGCCATGCCAGTCACTGCACGGCGCGCGGAGCTCTACGCACCCTCTCTCTGGCACACTGGCTCTTCACTACTATTTGAGTCAAGAGGAGGAGCAGAAAAACAGGGTATGAGTGTGATTGTTATGTGCATGTGGAGGGGGGAGGGGGGGAGGTTGTCACACTTCCTGTTTCTTCATTTTCTTAGAACTGTCCACAAACTTACAACTGTCACTGCGGGCGCCGTGAGACGTAGGCCTCTGGACGGGGGCGAGGAGGAACGTCTCCACCGAATTACATTATGGGTCAGTGTGATCAGAACCAGCCCCCATCCTCAACCACCACCCTGCAACAGCTCCCTACAAGAGCAGTACTTCTCATTTCAGTCTGACACTGAAAAGTGCTCTCACACTTTTGACTGTATCGCATGTGTTTCTGCACCTGTATGTGTGTGTGTGTGTGTGTGTAGGAGGATGCTGGCCTTTCTGGTTTTTTTTTTTTCTTCCTTTTGCTTTTAACACCAAGAGCTGTAACACGATGACCACAGCTGACAGCCGGGTCTGGTTTCCATGAGCACCAGCAGAACGGACTGCAGAGGGCAGGACCCCTTGGCGTTTCAGCAGGGTGCCTGTCGCTCGAAGCCCCGGTGCACAGACGCTCAAAGGCCGCTACCCTCCGCTCGCTGACATTTCTCCCCTACTAACCAGCTCCTCGGAGCTCGTACACCATGGCTTCCCTACACCAGGGAGTCCCTGTCAGCACCTTCCGTCTCTTAAAACTGCTCATTCCGAATCACAGAGAGCCACACCCCACCCACCTGCTCTCAATCAGGTCTGCTCCAGCTATCCCTGTCTTGACACCGGGGACACCTGATCCCTACATGGAAAAGACGGGAGTGATGCTGTGCGTCGGTGGAGGAAGTCGAAGCCGGCTAAGATGGAGAAATTTGGTAGCTTGGGCCTGGCCTGTCAGTAATGTCGATTTGGTTCCTGACCCGCTGCCTGCAAAGCAGTCAAACGAGATCCGGCATCCAGGCCTGGATCCCAGGGGCAACTAGCCAACAGCTCCATGCAGCTGCAGCAGACTCTGCATTTAATCCAGCAAGTGGCGTTTTCCTCTTAAACGTCACTCACACTAAAGAGACGTCATAGTCTACTGCAGTTCTCAGCTGCCAAAAATAACCGTCGCTGAACATTTAACTGATTAATGGGATAACAGGCAGTGAGAACGTTATTCTTTTAAGGGAAGAGAGTGCCAACAGCTTTGCCTGTTCCATTATAAGTAAATGACAAGTCAACAGGAATGCAACTGAACACAAAAGGCTGAAAAATTCAACTCCTCAACGCGTCTTAAAGTAAACAGAGGGCTGTTGGAAAAACTCACACAAAATTAGCAATGGAACGAGATCAAAAAATATATCCTCAGTAAAGATCCCAGATGGTCATCATGTCCTTTAAACAAGCTGGCAAGACGAGAGAGAGCAAGACTGAAAGCTCTGAAGGTTAACGATTTGACGCCCCTCCTCCCCCTCATTTCATGGGAGGTCCCATCTTGTCTTAGGCTACAGCAGGCCCCCATTATGCAGTACGGAGACACTTCCTACTTTTCCAGGCTGCCTCTTATTGGTGGAGCCCCCAGGTGGGAGGGACCAATCAGGAGGCAGGGCATGAGGCACAGCATAGCGACAGGAATCTTGCAAAACAACGAACCTCGCAAGAAAGAGAAATCGTGGCGTTTTAAAACCACGAGTCAGCAGTGGCAAACAGGCCCTCGTTTTCATTGGTCCGGTAGACTTGCTAAGCAATCGCAAAGAAAAAGGGAATTTTACAGCATTCTTGTAAAAACAAACCTCTGTTTAGCTACAAAGAAACTGAAGAAAAAAAGATTTTTGAAAATTTAACCCAGAGGGCGGAGCAGAAATTGCGACGTCTGTTAGTCAGGTGGCTTCTGATTGGCTAGCTTGCCAGGAAAACTCCACAATATACTGAAAAAAATGTAATCTCCGGGGAAAGGAAGAGGACTGACTGCCTGGCAGTGAGGACCCCACAGCGGCAGGGCCCCGTGACTGCGGAGAGAAGATGTGGTGGGTGCAGTGCTGGGACAGTGTTGGCGTCTGGGCTCCCCCTCAAAGACGCTGCCAGTCATTCATCTCGCTGGGGCAGCAGATAGCCCTGCCCTCAGCCTACAAGCCCCACCCACAGGCCAACCCACACACAGAGTCTCCGCCCACCACTCGACTTAGTCCCACTCAGCATGTTTACTCAGTATGTTGCACACTAAGAAAATTGAATTATTGTGTTAGTCCGACTAAAACTAGACTTTTAAAGTACATGTAAACAATACGACTGAAATTGAGAAATATGATATATTACGAATTCGGACCAAGACACCCAGACAATGTGATTGGGAGTCGATTTACTCCTTCATATGTTCATTCGGACCCAAACTGGCCCAGGCGTTCGGCACATGCTCCAGTGTCCCCCCCGGGCTTTGACCCGGAAGTAAGAGAAGAAGCTTGGAGCACAGCAGAGGACATACAGCGTGAAATGCACAGCGCTGTAAAGCGTCCAATTCACCGCTCAACTAAAGGGCGCTTTTCCACCGCACCAGTTACCGTACTTCTGGCATTTCAAGAAAGTTATATCCAATTCTTAGTCAGCTAGATTAAGATCAGGTTTTTTCTTACCTTCAATTTGGTACAAATATCATAGCGCTGGGAGTTTGTCTCGCTAAAATATTTTTACTCTATCAGAGTAAAACGCTGTATGCATTCTCCGAGACAATCATAATCATTTTCATCCTTGCTGTGGAAATCACTCCTAGATGGGTTTGTGATAAATTTATGGTGAGCTCCTTTTTTGTTTGATAAATACCCCAATATTTATTACAACAATATCACACTGAAATATTTCCAATACCGTGCCATCATAGTATATTACACAAAATACCTTATTTCTGGCTATGCTACCCTGATCTTCTTGTACAACACAATTAAAGCTTGTGTCACTTCATTTGTCCATGCACCCATTATTATTAATGTTATTATTTGTTTTACGTCTGTGATGTAATAGGTCAACTGGAAAAAGCCCAATACTAACAAGGTGAAAGGAGATATACCGCCACCTACTGCAGCGGGTTGGACAAACTTCGGTCAATAAATTCCCCTCCTGTGCATGAATACTGGGACAAGGGCAGCGGACAACCTCCCGCAGTAGCTGTGCATGTAAATGAAATGAATGAGAAACCAGCTACAAGCATAAATGAAATATCTGCTGTATAGCCAGTTGGGTCTGGTCCCACAGGTAGCACAACGTACCCTGTTCAACGAGGTCTTTTCAAGCAGCCCCCCCCCCCCTTTTAAAGAATCTCACCTCTTTCTTTTGAAATAGGCCAGATATTTAGCTATGAGGTCTACATTCAGCCCTGGGTCATCTGCGCGGTTACTGGATAGACTCACTTAGAGAGACTGTCGAGGCTCAGTCATACAGACAGATCCAGAGCACAAACAGGCCAGCCACACAGGGTAGGAGGTGAGAAACTGTTCAGATACGCACACACACCCCTGCGGTGACTCATGTATACACAAACACACACACACACACACGCACAAATCCTTAAATATTAAGCAAACCCGAATCAAAACCAGGCAAATGCACCAAGTTTAAAAGAATAACTAAAAGAATCCATCAAGCATGAAACACACAAACAGACATGAGTGACTCGGCAGGGTAACACAGTGCTCTTAAAGAGAGGCCAAAAAAGTATTTGTTTGACAGAACGTGAGCTGGCCTGCCTTAAGCTAATAGCTCATTCACTGAGCAAGGACAGGAGCCAGAGTGTGAGAGGAAGAGAGGAAGGGAGGGAGAAACATTCACCCTGTGAGAAGCAGTGCCATGTGCCACCCAATCAGGACAGACATTTAAGAATCATACGTTTCTGTGTGCCGGCAGTGTGAGGCTCAGTGTGTAGCAATAACCTCACACACAGAAGGTTGTTGGTTTGCGTTCCAGCTAGGTTTGGTGCATGTGGGGTTGCCTGCCCTCGATCCCCACAAAGACGCAAAGTTAGGTGACCTTAAGTTGCCCACTGTGTGTGCTCCCGCTACAGCCCTGTGTTCCCCCCCCCCCCCCACCTCCCAAAATAGGCTCCAGGCTTTATGCGCACTAAACACACAGAAACAGAAAGACTAAACGAAGCTGCACTTACGTCAGTGGAAACATTGAGAGCCGTGAGACCCGGCCCACCAAAAGAACGGGTCGAGCGTGAGGCTGACGGCCCAACCGACGGCAACGGAGGGCAGCCTGTGAGAAAGAGCCGTCACACCCGGAAGATCGGGTCACCCCCAGGCATGAGCACCGGAAAGCCCATCAGCGTAGAGCTGCTCTGCACTGCTTAAACACAGGCACCACAAGGCCTAGAGCTGCAGTCTCCAGCCAGTCTATCTCTGACTTTCATAGTCGATCGCTACAGTTCTACCGACTGGGACCCCCCCAGGTGTTAACACTTACCACCTAGCTCTTGGTGTGCATAAGATTGGAGACCTCTGGCCTAGAGTGTCACATATAGGCCTGTCATGATAATTATGTTATGGACTTATTGCACGATATATAAACATAACCTTGATCATTTTTTCTGACCTCAATATTTGCATTTCAGCCAGTCATGCCGTTTCTGCCATCTCATCTGCTCTCTGTGTCGCAAGAGCCCCGAGCGTATGCAATGCCGTGCCGGACCGTCCACAGTCCTGAAAGCTCATACTTTCAGTGCCAATGCACCAGGCAAAGCTGCTATTACAACACATGTTTATGAAGTGTGGTACTGATAAGAATAAATATGAATTTCACTAAAACTAACCAGGTTACAACTGCTAACAAAAAATTTCCATATACTGAAATTAAATA